GAAATTTTAATACAGACGGCAGACTTGCGGTTTCGTTCTTCTCCTTGTAGCTGCTGCTTGGTATCTTTACTTCAGTTGGCCAGCACAGAACATTGCAGTTCTTGATGCTACAGTGACATCCACCTGTTGGGTAGTCCTGCAGGTCGTCCTGGCGCAGGCATTTCTGTTGATTTAATCTGGGGAGAACTGACGCCCATAATTGTTACTTTTATTGTTGTTATTATTTTTGTCTAATACTTAGCGAGTGTCCACCCATGCATGAACACGCATTTTCATAAGAAGGCTCTAAGACACCTGGCACCATGGAACAGAAGCTAAAAGAGGCAGCAGGAAAAAAAGATGAGGTTATGACAAAATGGAATTCTGATTGTGGATGACAAAAGTGAAAATTATATACAAGATGAAATAGTTAAGACAAGTTGCTCTAGAGAACCTGACTTACCCAGCAGTTTCTAAACCCTAGTGCACCTTTACAAGCATTTGAGGAGGTTTTTTTTAAAATGCCAGTAGCTGAGCCCCATTTCTAGAGATTCTGTTTTAATAGCTCTGCTGTGGGGCCTTGGCATTGGTCTTTTTCTAAGTTTCCAAAGTGTTTTTAATGTGCTGACAAGTTCTACTTCTCATTTGTAAGAAAGATTTTGTTTCCTATACTCCACTTCAGAAAAGTAATTATATACCACAGACCATCTTCAGTTCTCTCAATAATCTATTATGCATTTATTATGTAAGAATTTATCTAAATTAATTTTGAACCTACTTTTATATTCAGTCTGTTACCCTTTGAGAGAAAGGAGTGTTATAAGGTTTATAATTGCCTTCTTGATTTTATGGACTTTGATGATATTCCCCTTCAGTCTTTTTTTTGGCTGCATCAGGTCTTGGCTGCACGTGGACTTTCTCTAGTTGCAGCGAGTGGGGGCTACTCTTCGTTGCGGTGCGTGGGCTTCTCATTGCAGTGGCTTCTCTTGTTGCGGAGCACGGGCTCTAGGTGTGTGGGTGTCAGTACTTGCAGCACGTGGGCTCAGTAGTTGCGACACGCAGCCCCTAGAGCGCGGGCTTTAGTAGTTGTGGTTCGTGGGCTCTAGAGTGCAGGCTCTGTAGTTGTGGCGCACCGGCTTAGTTGCTCCGGGGCATGTGGGATCTTCCCAGACCAGGGATAGAAACCGTGTCCCCTGCATTGGCAGGCAGATTCTTAACCCCTTCACCACCAGAGATGTCCCCCCTGTTCAGCCTTAATAATTCCAAATACAACAGCACTTCTTTTAGGACTATTTTAATTCTTTTTAAAAATTGTTTTTCTTTTAAGAAGATGTTGGGGGTAGGAGTTTATTAATTTATTTTATTTATTTTTGCTGTGTTGGGTCTTCGTTTCTGTGCGAGGGCTTTCTCTAGTTGTGGCAAGCGGGGGCCACTCTTCATCACAGTGCGCTGGCCTCTCACTATCGCGGCCTCTCTTGTTGCGGAGCACAGGCTCTAGACTCGCAGGCTCAGTAGTTGTGGCTCACGGGCCCAGTTTCTCCGCAGCATGTGGGATCCTCCCAGACCAGGGCTCGAACCCGTGTCCCCTGCATTAGCAGGCAGATTCTCAACCACTGCGCCACCAGGGAAGCCCCTAAAAATTCTTTTTCTATTTCCTTATTTTTTGAGATACATTAGTCAAAGTTACAAATGAACATTTAACTATGTGAACAGCACCTTTCAATGTATGTGAACTCATTTAATCCAACTTTATGAAGCAGGCACAGTTATTACACACATTTTATAAATAATGAAAATTAGGCACAAGGAGTAAAGCATCTTGATCAAGAGGCACTCTGGCTCTCAATAAATAAATGTACTGCATCTGTTATAGAAGGTCTGGTTTTAGGAGTGTTTGGGGAAACGCCCATTTAAAGAAAGATGGTGAGTCTGTGATTTTTCACTTTTGACACTTCCCCTAGATTCTGATTTTGGGCAGGATTGAGGGATTTAGGCTGTTAAACCAACAACCTAAAACTGACAACAACTTGCTGCAGATCTTGGGCTAGGCTGGAAGCACAAGGCCTCACCCTCTTCTGGGATATACTCACCCTACTTCTGGGATATACTCCTTCCATACATGACTGTAGTTCAGCAAGGATTTTTCCACCTTTTAATTTATTTAATCTGTTGCTATACCTGGCACTGTGCTAGACATGAGAGATATCAAGATGAAATACACAATCCAGAGCCTCAAGGAGCCAGCTCATCCTGGAGATTTATTTATACAAGACTAGAGGTATAGACTTTTATAACCAGAAAGGATGTCAGAAGCTGCCAGTCTATGACAAAATTTAACTAAGTGCTGAAATTAAAAATAAAGACAATGTATTAAGTTTTCATAAAAATAAATTTATTCAGTGTAAAGGACTGTTCTTTTTGAGGTTATGCTTTGATTTTTTCTGTTAAAAATGTTCTCTCTTTGGGAATATACTGTATAGCACAGGGAACTCTACCTAATGCACTGTGGTGACCTAAGTGGAAGGAAAGTCCAAAAGGGAGGGGATATCTGTATGTGTATGGCTGATTGATTCATTTTGTTGTGCAGTGGAGGCTAACACAACATTGTAAAGTAACCATACTCCAATAAAAATTAATTTAATAAAAAGAAAAAGTAAATAAAAAGAGAGCTAAATGCTAAAAAAAAAAAATTTAATGTAAAAAAGGTTCTCTCCTAATAATTAGTAGGTTAAGTTGTTGGGAGTTTTGTTTACTTTAACGACCTTAAAGTCCTGTGTTGATTCTCAAAATTTTTTGATGTTTTTCTGATTTAGTTTAACTGTCCATTGCTGGCGAGGGAAATTAAGATTGCAGAGGGACCAAGTCCAGTTCTCTTTCTACTGCATACCCATTGGAACAGCCCATTTCATGAGCAGAGCTAGAAATGTTTGAAAATAATAATAACAAATTTAAAAAGAAATCAGGGTCAAGGTTAGACAACAAAGATTAGAACTGGTTCTGATAGGCCAGCTGTGTTGTTAGCCAGGAAGAGAAGTCTCCTGCCTGCTTAATTAATCAGATTAGCTAAGTAGTTTGGTTTCCTTCTGAGCTGAAAGCAAAGAATGGGGCCTGAGGGAATACAGCTACTGTATGGACTGACATTTTGTTGTTGTTGTTGTTGTTGGTACGCGGGCCTTTACTGTTGTGGCGTCTCCCGTTGCGGAGCACAGGCTCCGGACGCGCAGGCTCAGCGGTCATGGCTCACGGGCCTAGCCGCTCCGCGGCATGTGGGATCCTCCCGGACCGGGGCACGAACCCGTGTCCCCTGCATCGGCAGGCGGACTCTCAACCACTGCACCACCAGGGAAGCCCTGGAGTGACATTTTGATTGGGGTAAGACTAGGAAAAATCAGCTGGACTGAGTAAGGCACAACCATATCTGATATAAATATGTGGAGTCTATATTCCCTGAGAGTCAGCCTGGGGAGAATTTTTGAGAAACAGCAGGGAGAGACTGGACCTGGATGGGGGCCATGGGAGAAGAATCAACTTCATTCATGTAACCTGCAGAGGGTGGTCTAGACCTAATACCAGAAGCCCCAACTCAGATGGAAATTTCAATTGAAGGATCAAAACAGACTTCAAATCTGTATATTATTTTCTGGATAGGCTTAGATCCTACATGCAATACATGCAAATGAACTCTTTGCCTTTTAAATATTCAGGACAAACCACCGTCTTGCAGAGATAAGCAAGCAGACAGCATTTCTCTGTTAAACTCCTTGTATTATTACCCCTGAAGTTGTTAAGCAGTTAGTTCTGTATTGTACCAGACCCTTTAGATGAGTACACTTTTTGAAGTCAGTATAGAAGGGCCTATTGACTTTAACAACAACAAAAAAAGAAAGAGAGTAAGAAAAATGTGTCCACTCCCAAATCATTAACTGAACTGAAAAGAATATGCTAACAAAAAAAGACACTGTAGTGTGAATCCTGTACTGTTAAGAGAAGGTCATGTCCCCCACAGCATCAGGAGAGGCAAAAAGCCTTGAACTCAGGCCCAAGCATGCTGGGCTAGCTCAACACGCCCACACATTCATCAGCAGGA